CCATCTTGATCTTCATGTTCTTTGGCGCGCTCTCGTTCTCGATGACGAGCAACATCATGGCCATCTTCCCGTCGACCAAGTGCTACCGCATCGCTGGCGGCAAGGGCACGGTCAACGGCACGTGCCCGGTCTAAGCGCTCTCACGAATGGCGCAGGTGTCTAGTGTTCGTATAGGACTTGACTGTAACGTCGATAAGAGTCCTTTGTGTATTTGCGTTGCGCAATTGTGAGTCGGTGTTGGCGATCCAGTGCACTAGACCGAGCTTAGCAATAGGCTTGTGAGCAAATTGTTGAATGTTGGAGATATGGAGCGGTATATGTTCACAAAGGTGTCACTGCTGCAATGTGCTCGTCCCATCGCCCAGACGCGGCGCCCATGCAATTCACTGTCAGTGCTGAAAAATACCAACAGGCTCAACCGCACGCCATAGATAGCCATATATAATTTATAAATGTGGTACGTGCCATGATTAACAAAACAGTCGATTGCTCGCGTTGTATTGCTCGCACGCCGACAACAAGTAGCGCGTTGTGCTCCCCAAAGGATCGAGAAACACCAGGCCAAGTGGCAGCGCTTTCATTTCCGAACGCAATTGTCGGCAACCGAGCTGCCTCGCATAGCAGGCGGCGCCACACCTGGTTTTCAAGACCTGTGATTGGCTCAAATATATAAATCGCCCAATTACTGTACATTCCGCGCGAATTGCGATCTTAAGCTGGTCCAGGTACTATCAACGAGGCTTTACGGAGACTGCCGCTCGACGGCGTTTGGGAAGACGTACAATATTGTTCTTTGGATGACGTTAGCCTCTTTGTGTTGTGCCTTCTGCGCCAGGACGATGAGTCCTATCCGCTGCATCGCGTCAATACGCTGGACCTTCAAAGACGAGGAGCCAGTGCAAGCGACACGGATGCGTTTCCTGGTTGTGATCCACACATTAGAATGCCCCATTCTAAGCATCAAGGGCACGACTCAAGCTCCCAATGCATCGCCGTCGGTGCGCCAAGCAGCCAAGCATGGCCACATACACACTACATTGGCTCTAGTTATAGACGACGCGCCGTCACCTCTGCGCGATCGTAGTGCAGCGAGAGAGTCGCGTCAAGCGCAGCATGCGGCCGCTTGAAGCGCAAGGCACAGGTCATCGTATACTGCGTGGACGCCGCATAGGGCTGGACAGAGAATGTGTGCAGCGACGGGGCAATGTCGTCGGCCATGCACTCGTTCGCGTCGTCGCCCGAGCACACGTCCACGTCGGTAGAGGCTTCCAAAAGCACTGTAGCGCGGCGTCCCATCGCGTCAAACGAGGTTTGCACAAGGCGACAGCTACAAAATAATATCAAGAATTCAAGAAAATTTCAAATAAGTTTCAAAAATTCAGTGTACCGGAGTAGAAGCGGCGTCGAGATGGCCGAGGTGGTGAGCGCGCGGAGCCCATGGATGCTCATGGCCAGCTGCACATACGGTGTCGGCGGAGGGCTCGGGTACGTCACAACAAACGCGCTGTCCGCGAACGGCGCGGGCGCTTCCATCGAATGGTCCATGTACGACGTGAAGGCAAGTCGGAACTCTTGGCGTGTGCGAATGTCAACGGCCATGCTGCCGCTCGTGCTCTGCCAAAGGAGAAGCGCGCTACTTGTCTCGGCATCTAGACGTCGACGCGCATGCCACTCGACCCCGTTGACAAAGATGTTGCCTATGATAGTGTCTCGTGCCCATCTATCCCGGCACGAAGACTCTACCATCCAAATGCACTTGGGTCGAGAGACTAGCGTCGCCGATTTGAATCTGATTGGCTTGAATATGTACGGCCTTGGACGCCAGTATCATGGCCGGTGCATCTAGAAGACGACATCAAAACTCACCAAGCGCGCGGTTCAAAGTACGCACCCGGAACACCTAGTGTCATACCGGTGGGGGCCGCCAGCGCCACCATCTGGTTGGGTCCTGACGCGATCGCAAGCGACGAGCCGTTCACAGCTACGGTAATGCTCTGTGCGGCCGCCAGCGATACGTAATTCGTGTCCGTAGGATCGCCGAGAAGGACGGCTGAGCCACCGAGCGCCACCATGGTCTTGTTGACGTGCTTGCGAAAGCCTGCGTTGGCACCGAGCGCAATGCTGCCATGGATCTCGACGCTGCTGCTGGACGACGACGCGGGACTGTTGATGTGCACCTCGGTGGCATGCATCGTCAACATACCTAAACGAGCGATTAGGATTAGGATTAGGGTTGTGCGACAATGGAAAATAGGTACCGGTGGTCATCTGCAGCTGCGTTGTGGCCTCGAGAGCTAGCGTCGATGCCGCACCAAGTGCCATGGACACGGCGCGAAGGCCCATACTCTCCGCCGTGACGTTGAGTGTCTTGGCACTCGTCAGCGAAATGGCAGTGGCAGCAACGGCTACGTCGGTCGTCGTCTTGGCGCTGCCAAGATGCACCGTCGTGGACCCGACTGCAAACGACGCGCCGGCGACGGCAACCGCGCCACCGATCGAGGTTGGGAGCTCGTTCGAACCGCTATTGAGCGCAAGAGCCCCCGACAGCTTGACGTGGCTGTCCGGTTGATTGCTCCCAATGCTCGTCGTTGTCATCACGTGCTCGTCCGTGTTGATGGCGACGTGACCAAGCGTGCGGGTCGAGCCGACGCCGCCTTGGATTGTGACGGTCCCGCCAACGGCGCCGGGGCCACCCGAGACCAGCACGTCGCCGCCCGCATCGGCCGCCGACTGCCCGACGAGCTCCAAGCGAATTTGGGACGACGAACTCCGAGGCATGACGCGCACCGACGACGCGCCGTCGCGGCCCAGCACGAGCTCATCTACACCGCATGTTAGAATCCATTCGGTTCAAGAGGACGCGCGTACGGGCTTCGAGCGTCAGCGGCGTCGTGGCCTGGAGACCTGCGGTCGTCTTGTCGGCGTGGAGCACCAAGTGGGCACCGAGCGCGATGCGACCAAGGCGGCCGTCGATCGTGATACCGAGCGCCGACGGGTCCTCGGGTGGCACGGCGTCTGGATTCGGAAAACACACGGCGCCGTCGGCGTTGACGCGGAGTCGCTGCTGCCCGCTCGTACTCGCCACGATCGCGCCCTTCTGCGACGCAAAGTTCAAGTCGCCGGCTTGGACGAGCCCGCCGCTGACGTCGGCCGCTGTCGTCATGGTCGTCCCATCTTTAAAGATGACATTGCCGGCATGTACGGTTGCAGCTTGGACGCTGGGTGCTACCGTCCTCATGCCATTTATTGGGCTGTTGGGTCAAAGATCGCGTACCGACAAGGCCGTTCGAGTAGGTGACCGTGCCGTTGCCAAAGACCTCGACACCATGGAAGCGCGGCGCGAGGTCGTCACCGTCCGCGTCGTCGGACGGAATTCGCTTGTACTGTCCAATGCGCATCGTGCCGTCTTCCAGCGCAATGCTCGCGGTCGCGGGCGCGTGGCCTAATCAATGGTAGGAAACATGAGCGTCAACATGGTAGACTGTACCGTTGTTCTTGAGGTACACGGACGCCGTCTCGGTTGAAACGACGGTAAAGTGTTCGTCGACGTACGTGCCGAGAAGGTCGACTTGGTGCTCGACAAAAAAGTCGGTTTGCGCAAGGAAGATCGCTATCGCAATGAGCACGGCGAGCGACAAGAAGCTCAAAAGAAGCACAAAGTTCCAGAACGTGTGGTCGCCGTCGGCCTCGCGCCGGCGGCGAAAGGCAAAGCGTGGCCGCGCGTCGCCGTGCGATCGAAGCACGCGGAACCGTCGAGGCCGGCGCGACGGCTCGTGCATGGGCTCAGACACATCGCTCGCCGCGCCAGCATCGCCGTCATGGTCGCTTCCGCCATCGGCGTCGTCCTTGTAGATCTCGCTCTTGAGTGGCATCGGCGACGAGTACTCGTCGTCGTCGGCCCCGGTCATCATCTTGGTCGATATCACAAAGCAGATCTCAGATGCCTTTTTATAGGACCCTAAATTTAGGCCTTGACAGCCTTTCTTGAGCGTGCCATGCTCTATCGGAGCCTTTAATATGCATATTTCGGCATATTATGGCCTAATTAGGACTCTCCTGAAATAGGTGGAAGTGTGTGAAGTAAAGTAAACAAGTGCAAAGTGCAGTTTGTCGGAGCTCAGTTTTCAAATTGCATCTTATTGATACCTCAAAGCCAAACCAACTCTGCGAGCAAGGGTCCATGGACCGTCTGTGTTGACCCTTGCTACGAGTTACAGAGGAGCTAGCTGTAGCTACAAGGACTCGGTGCGCTCTGCGTGACCTAAAGCATCGACGTTCTTCATCTCGACGCATCACACATCCATGTCATACACGCGCCACGCTACTAGTATCCTCGTTGGTCTAGTACACGGACGGGCGGCGCTTCATGTCCTTGAGCAGCGCGACGACTTCGGCGAGCGTTTGTTCGATTTGGTCGAGGCGTTCACTGGACGACGGCGACCCGAGGTCGTCCGAGATGAAGCCAATGTCGCCCGTCGCCGAGAGGAGCGCCGTGTGATCACCAGGCCCATCAGCCGCGATCGGCGTCAAGCCCGCAGTTTTTTCGCTTCGAAGAACACACTCGGCAAAGCTCACAAGGGCCTCGAGCTTCGCGAGTTCGAGGCCGCCGTCGACGGTCTTGGTCATGATGGCAATGAGCACGTTGAGCAGCATCACCATGACGATCGTCGCGTGCGTCAGCAGCAGCGTGTAGCCGAGCACGTAGGACGACGTGTCGGGGAGGTTCTCAAACGGATCAAGCTCGATTTGTCCGAGCATGACGAGGAACGTGGTCACAAAGGCGCGCCAGAGCGTGTTGTACGTCTCTTCGTCCGTGTCTTGAAACAGCAAGAAATACCCGCACGCATACGCACACTGGAACGGCCAGTAGAACGCGAGGAACCGGAAGACGTCGCGGAGGAGCCCGCGCATCATCGGGATGAGGTACCCGGCGGTGCCATGGACCTCGAGGTACTGAAGGCCGAGGATCCAAAGCAGCATGTTGAGCACCATGCCGCAGTAGAGCCGCAGCGTCAAGTCGGCATCGCCGATGAGCTCGTACACGGCAAAGACAAGGACCGACGAAAACGTCGGCAGCTGCACGCAGTTGAAGAACGAGTCAAAGTACTTGGCCGTGTCGCCGCCGACCAAGAGGACGGCAAACTGATAGACGACCGAGAAGGGGCAAAAGATGACGTAGTAGAGGACCTTTTGCGAGCGCGGACTGAGGCTGTGGAAACCGCAGTCAAACAGCCTATTGTGCTCGGCGACTTCGCCAAACATTTCGTTGAGCTCAAAGCGCAAAAAATAGAGTCCCGTGAGCCCAACAACGACCGTGTTGAAGTTGGTGAACAGCGCCCAATGGACCACGTGGAGGGACTCGCGCATCGAGAGCGTCACGGCAAGCGCGATGCAAATGATACCCGCGGTCGCCGCGCGCCACGATGCCCGGCGCTCGTACGTGAACCACGGCGACGCACTCAGCGCAATGAGAAGCGGGATGCCAATGTACAGCCATGCTTGGAGTTGCGTCGGGTACGCATCGCCGCCGGGTCGCATCGACACGGCCACCGTCATCGAGAGCAAAAGAAGGCAGTACATGAGCAGCTGCTCCATGTACATGCGAAGGCCGAAGCGCTACGGCGACCATGAGCCTCGATCCTTGTCGATGTCGCGGCGTCCGTACCTGCCACTTGAGGGCAATGACTTCGCGCATGACCGAATGTTCGAGGAGCTTCTTGGTGGCTGTGTCGGTCGAGCCTTGCTGCGACGACGACTGCAGCGTCACAAAGAGCGCGGTGCGGTTGACGTCGACGCCGTTGCCGTTGTAGACCCGAGCGAGCTACATGGCAAGCTGTCACGTGACGCCGCGGATGAGACAGTGACAGACCTCGGTCGGGTTGTTGATGCACTTGTCGAGTTCGCGGACGGCTATGGACAAGTCACTCCGCGTCTCCACCGCGCGCTCGTACGCGGCGAGCGAAAAGTGCGGCGAGTCGGTCTCGATGTCGTGCGCGCTCATAGTTATTGCGTGGGAAAGGCCGAGGATGTCGACGGAAGAGATGGTCGGCGTCCAGCAGCCGACGTTTCTTTTAGACCACGTTTTTAGCCAATCGGAACGTGGGTGGGAATCACATACCATTTCCAAGAGAATGAGCTGGCACGCTCCGCGCGTCGTTTTGTTATGACACAACAAGACACATTTGGACCGCGAAGCAAGCGCTCGGCCAATCTAGGGCAGCTTAGCCATGGCTTTTTCTCATGAGGAAACTCAAGTTTCTGGTCTAAAACTGGATACGTATGGCTCGAAGGTAAACTTGGGCGCAATAACGTTAGACTGGCGATTATTGCCTATACCAGGTACATGCAATTCCTCCTCGGCTTCGAACCCATCGTTGGATTGAATGTACCGGTAC